TATGAGATAACTTTGCGTTGTCTGTCCCTGAATTCAGTGTAAAACAAATGTATAAGAAAATATAAAGGGGGGCTCGTTTAATTGACAGAAATCAACTATGCGTATACTTTTTCGAACAGTTCTTTTACGTTCAGTTCAATGATCGGCTCATTTATTTTCTAAAAACTTAACATGTCGATCAAAATGCAGCTGGCCACGCAAAAACTGATTTAAAAAGGCTGATTCACACATTGTTCGATAGATAATAGAGAGATCTATCGAATGCATATAATATGATTGCTGGAAATCCTTTGGCTAAGAGAAACTTGAGAATTGTTTTTTACCCTATTTCCAGCAAAAAGCCGAATTTTTGTGCTGTGGCTCTCAAACGTGAGGCGAGCATTTTTAAAAATATTTGAGCAATAGATCATACAGTACTCGATTAGTAGAATCTCAATATATGTCCGAATAGTAGTGACATGCGTTGAGACATAGAGAAATTTTGATCGCAAACGAATTATGACTGCATGGCAACATTGTACCATAAAAAAAATATGATGTGGATTTCTCTGAAAAAGTGAAAGTGTCATTAAACTGAGCCTAAGTCAATCTACCTATAGTGAAATTTTTGACTGAGCATAGAGATCATCTGTCAGTACTGCTGATAGCGAAAGTAAAATTTTCCTATCTCTGCGAAAACTTGTTCGTTGGTTCCGAACATTTTCCCATGTGGGCAATTCAACGCGCTCTACAAGCTGGCAGTGCCAAAATATGTTTAGCTGGAAGTTCATAGTGGCTCTTTCGACACTCGGATTCCAGAGATCCACCCCAGAAAGGCCTAGCAGCCGAAACCGATAGCAGATTCGTGATCGGCGTCAAAAATTATCCACAATCGTGTATGCTTTAAGGAAAAAAGCGATTGACCACTTGGGAAGGTCTCCTCGTCAGTAAAGAGCTCGCGCAATTATAATATCCCTTGTCTTAGAACCATGGACGTATTATATAAATAATCAATTACATACTCATCTGTTGTCCATAAGCAATCACCAAATAATGGTTTAACATAAAGTGAATCAAATTCTAGTAAATCACTAAATAATAGATTATAATCGGTTTCATTTGATGTTAAATATAAATGTGGA